TGTCCCACCTGGACGTAGCAGCGCGGTGGCCAGCGAGGCCGGGCTTTCAAACCTGCCGGCCTGGAGAGCTCCCTGCTCTCGGACCTTCTCGGGGGGTGGGGGACCTTGGGCCCAAGCCCAGCTGCAACAAGGGCCTGGCGCACGGCGTCCTGACCTCAGCGCCCACCCATGTGGGCCCACCCACAGCTGTGGCCCCCACTGCCAGGAGCCCGGTCTTCACACCCCCACTCTCTCACCATACCACCCCCGCTCCCCGCACCGACACACAGCGAGCGGCACAAACGACTCTACGGACAGGGTGTCTGAGGCTGCAGACCCGGGCTCCGCAGAGGGAGGGTTTGGGGCAGCCGGAGGGCCAGGAGACCACGGGGAGGAGGAGGAGGGCACGCACAGGGAGGGGTGGTTTGGGACGGGTGTAAGAATGGGCGGGTGCAAAGAGTGCGGCTGCCCCTCCGGCCGCCTTGTTCTCCTTATTCAGACTGTGCAGCGTTCCGGGGGTCAGGCCAGGCGGGGGCCACTCAGGGCCGGGAGGAGCTGGCTGCCCCAGCTGGTGGAGAGTGGGCGGGGCCAAGCCAAGTCTGCGTGTGGACTGCCGCCTTGTCCACCCTCCCACCTCGCCTCACGCTCCTCTCCCACCCCGTGTCCCCCCCACCCCCACCCCCACCCCGCAGTGTGGACCTGGTGCACGCCCAGATCCATGTGGCCGAGGGCCGCAGCCTGCCCGACCTGGGCCTGCGGCAGGACAGCATCCGCATCAACGGCTGCGCCATCCAGTGCCGGGTCACCACCGAGGACCCCACGCGCAGCTTCCAGCCGGACACCGGCCGCATCGAGGTAGGGCCCGCCCTCTGGCCCCTGCCCGGGCAGCTGCGGCCTCCAGCTGCATCGGGGTTCCCGGGCCCCCCTGCTTTTGAGGGGCACGAAGCGAGGGAGGGCCTTGCTGGTCTGAAGCTGGCTTCCCGTGGGCGGGGGCCAGGCCCTGCCCTAGAGGAAGGGAGGAGCACCCTGGGGAGAGGCTGCCGTGTGTACAGGCTCGTAAGTGGGGGGGGGGGGGCGGCCAGAAACGAGGCCCAGGGCCTGCACTCTGGCCCCACAAGAGCCCAGAGACAGAACGGTGCTGCTGGCCTCGGCCCTGCCTTCAGTCTGAGCGGGGCGGTGGGGGTGGCCGGCAAGGCAGCACCTGGCGCTGCAGCCAAGCTCTGGGGCCCTGATGCCCCAGCAGAGGAGCCACGCAGCGCAAGGATAGTGGTGGGAGTCGGGTGGGGGGGCAGGGCGGGAAGAAGCTGGGAGGCTGAGGTGGGCCTGGGCGGGCTCCCTGCGCACCGGACCTGCGCCTGCTCCTTTCTCTCACACAGGGAGCCCTCTCTCGCCCTCCCCTCCTCCCCCTCCTCCCCCTCCTCCCCATGCTGCCTGCTGCATGCTGAGAGCAGGAGCCCTCGGGCCTGCCCGGGGCCTGTTCCCCGCCCGGTCTCATACCTCTGGGTCCTGGTGGCAGCGGCGCTGTCACCAGCTCTGCTGCTTTACTGGCGCCCCATCTGGCCCCCACCTCCCGGGATGCAGGACAGGAGCATGGATTCTGCTCTGGGCCACGGAGGAGGGGAGGTCGAGCTGGAGACAGACACTGGGCCTCTGGAAAACCAGCGGCAGGGGCGGGGCTGTCTGGGTCCGAAAGGGCTCAGTGCACGGAGCTGGCGGGCCCAAGGCAGAGCGCGGCACAGCGGGCTCCCGCCTGCAGCAGTCCCTTCTCTTGGGGGACAGGCCCGGCCCCAGCGCTGCCCGGTCTCCTCTGTCCTCCACCCGGAGGGGCAGCCCCGCCCTGGACGCCGCCTTCCCCGTCTCCCCTGCCCGGGCGGCTCCTGCAAGCCTGGTTTACCACAGAATATTTTTAGCCGGCAGGTCCTGCTCACGGCCGAGTGTCCACCCTTAAATGTTTCATTAAGTTCCTTGGTGCTGGACACAGGCCTCGGCCCCCGAGAGGTGGCAGCGCAGTGCAGCGGGGGTCCCTCCCGCTCCGCGCCGTCCTCACGGCTGCGCTCCTCAGGGGTCACCCCCCCACCTCACGTGCGTCCCAGTGACCCCCCCCCACACACCCCGAACCCCTGTCCCCCGCCCCGGCCCCTCCCCATAGACTGTGTGTTCGGAGCCCCTGTCTGTCCCCCAGGCCCACCTCTCTGACCCACCATTCTCTCTCCTGCTGCCCTCTGGGCGCTGGCGGAAATTAAACGGAACGTCATGCGCCAGAGCCGGAGTTCGCCTGCGGCCGCCCTCCTGCACCTTGTCCGGCCCGGGCCAGGGGCTGCCTCCTCACCCCGGCTCCCGAGCCGGCCCTGAGCCCGCCCGCCCGCCTCTCCCCGCAGGTGTTCCGGAGCGGAGAGGGCATGGGCATCCGCCTGGACAACGCTTCCGCCTTCCAGGGGGCTGTCATCTCCCCCCACTACGACTCCCTGCTGGTCAAAGTCATCGCGCACGGCAAAGACCACCCCACGGCCGCCACCAAGATGAGCAGAGCCCTGGCCGAGTTCCGGGTGCGAGGCGTGAAGGTGAGAGGCCGCGGGCCCTGCCTGCCCCCGGGCCGTCCACATCCCTGCCTCCGCCCTGCCCCTCGCTGCACGCGGACTCCCCGGCTGCGTGCGGTCCCTGCTGCTGCCCGGCCCTGGCGTCCCCGGGTCCCTCAGCCGAGTCGGGCCTTGCTCTGTGGGTCCCACACTTCTCGCACCCCTCCCGGGTGAGAGCGCCCCGCGAGCGTGTTAATCCACACGTCACCAGGCCTCCCTCTGGAACCTCTGGTCCCACAGGGTCGGGTGGGGGCCGCGGAGCCTGCGCTTTGAGCCGTGTTCGGTGCTGCAGGGCCAGCCAGGGAGGGAGGCTGCAGCCAGAGTCCTGAGCACAGGGCAGGCGGCGGCCGGGGGCCAGGCGAGGACCCAACACGCCCCTTGGTCTCCTGGTCCGGCTCCGTGAGGCGAGTCTGTAGCTAGAGATGAAAGCACAGCCACACACTGTCGTGGCCTTGAGGTCAGTGCTGCCCACACACCCTGGGCCTCCCCGGCAGACGCTGCCAGGCTGCCCCTCGTCACCCTCTTCTGGGCCTTCCTGAAGGACAGTCGCCCGCAGCAGAGGGTGCCCTGCCTGCCTGCCTGCCGGCCCGCGGCACATGAGGTGTGCAGGGCAGCTGGCTGGGGCCCCTCCGCTCCGCCGCTTCCTGCCCAGCCGGTGGTCCAGACCCAGCTGGTGCGCTCGGGGTGCGGGGTGACTCCTCTCCTGTCGACGGGGTCTGGGGTGCACCCTGCAGGCGCCCCAGCTGGTGTGGGAGCCTTTGGGAGAAAGCACGTGGGAGGGGAGGGGGGCGTGAGCCTGTGCCCACGCCGTGTCCCCTCAGGCTGTCAACCCAGCTCTCCGGGAACAGAGGTCCCTGGGGTGCTGGGGGCGGGGCTCGGCCCTCTGCTGTTCCGTGAGGGTCCTCGGGGCTCCTGGTCAGGGGCCAGTTCATGGTGACATGCGCTCAACCCGCTTTCTCGCTGAGGGGGCCAGGTGTTCCCGGCAGGGCGTCCTGGGGCTGGGGATCAGTGCACACTGTGACCCCAGTGGGGGACGCAGCTACCCCACCACTCACCTGCCCCCAACTATTGCTGTGTCCTGCTTGGTGGTGACCCTGGCTGGCCCTGTGGTCTTGCCCCTGGGCCATGAGACCACCTGTCCGTAGGCCTGGAGGGCTCACGAGCCCTGGAGGCGGAGCTGGAAGACTGGGGCCAGGGCCTCTTCGGATGCGCAGCCGGGCCGGGCCGCTGGCCCCTGCCGCACCCGGAGCCCCCGCCAGCCCTGCATGTGCCGCCCTGCAGCTCCTGGCCCCCGCCTCCCCTGCCCTCCCTTCGCTCCCCTCCCGCAGCCCTGCGGCCCCTGCCCTCCGTCCAGGCCCTCGTGGGGCTCTCGCTCCCCTGCTCCTCTCCGCTGAGAACCTTGTTTTGTTTACTTAAACCAGGGTCACTCTAGGGCTGCACCCAGGTACGTGTTGCGGGCTGGGCGGGCGGGCGCACGTGTCGTCACTGTGTACACCCACAAGTGTGTGAGCTTGGCCTGCACACGTGCGTGCGCACACCCTACTGGGCCAGGTCTCACTGTGCTGCTTGTCCGAACCACACAGGCCCGCACAGAAACGGACACCCAGCCCCCCGCACAGATGCCAGGCCGCCACAGCCCCGCCCCACGGCGGGCCCTGGGGTGCCAGTGCCGCCCTTCACGGTGGAGCCTGGGCCCCTGCGCGGTTTTGAAGCACCTGCTGCACCTGGCGCGGGGTGGAGCAGCCCCCCGGGCCAGCAGGGCTGGTGGAGGCAGGACGAGGCGGCTGCCGTGGGCTGCGGCTCCCGGGCAGGGGAGGCTAAGCAGACTGGCCTGGCGGGCTTGGGGGTCCCTCTGCCAGGTGCCCTCCCGTGTCCAGTGAGGGGGGGTGGACTCCGTTTTTGCAGACGAGCCCGAGCAAAGCCCGGGGGCCTGAGTGGTCAGCGTCCCAGTCCCTTTGGGAGGACACTTCACAGACCCAGGAGGAGCCCCGGGAGGCGGTGAGCGAGGTCGGCGCACACGAGGCTGCAGGGACCTCCGGAGCTGTGTTAGGGTGTCACCCCGCCAGGGCCCTCTGCCCCGAAGGGCTCGGCCACTCCCGCCGGCTCCCGTGGCCGTCTGTATGCCGCAACGTCCACTGAGGCCGCCACACCCTGTCCGTGGCCTGCCGTGAGGGGTGCTGTCTGCTGTCACTCGTGCAGGCACGGCAGAGGGTCAGGTGTCCGGGCCAGGGACCAGACCCCGGCTCACCTGGGTCAGAAGCCACCAGGCCAGCGCACTCGGCCGTGAGGCGGATGAGGAGGCTGAGGGCACCCAGATCTGCTTGGGCCGCTTCCTCGGGGCTGGCAGTCTCAGCCCTGACCTGTCCTGTCTGTGCGCCTCCGCCAGCCCACTCGCCTCCCCTCCCTCTAGCATGGTGTCACCAGAGACTAGCACTGAGGTGTCCCCAACAATTTTATTATAAAGAAAAACAAGACTCCCACTTAGTGGCTGCAGCGCTGCCTTGGCGGCTGTGAGCACCTGTCGGAGGGACCTGGCCCCTCAGGCCCGTCTGGGGGCCAGAGCCGGGGCGGTGGCCCTCTGTTCGGCCGAGCACAGGGGCCTGAGGTACCGAGGGTGGCAGCGGGAGGGACTCCCAGGCAGTGCCGGCCCACCCAGGCGAGGTGGCTGCCCGTCCCGCGCCCTTGCCCTGGGGCCGTCCCCCTGCCCATCACACCACGCTCTCTGCCAGCCGCTCGGCACTGCCCCCCGCCCCCTGGCACCCCGCCCCGAGCAGACCCCCATGCACAGAGTGGCTCCGTCGGGCCCAGGCCCCTCCGAGGCGCCTGGCGTAGCCGTAGCACCCGCCGGTGTCTCCCAGGTCCAGGGAGCAGCTGCGCTGTGGGCGCGGCGGGGGGCTCCGCGGCGGGTGGGTCTTGGGTGTGGGGCTGGGGCCTCCGTTGGTCTGCGACTGGACGTGACTGAGCTTGAGGGGCAGGCGGCCATTCCCGGCCCCCCGGCCCCGAACCAGCAAGGCCACGGTGAAGACCAGTAAGGCAGCCACCAGCACCCCGCCCACGGCCACGGTCAGAGTCCCCCCTAGCATGTGGGCCTGCGGGGCATGGCACAGGGGCATGGCCGGCAGCGTGGAGAAGTGGGCACAGCCCAGCAGCTTGGTGGCCGTGAGGTCGGAAGGCCCGGCGGCAGGTGACAGGGCCAGCAGGCAGAGGTCATAGTCGGCACCAGGGACCAGGTGCTTCAGCAAGAAGTGGTGGCTGGAGGCCGGGACAATCCTGCAGGCAATGGCTGGGGGTCAGAGCCCAGGTCACGGGGTCCAGGCCCCGGCCCCACCCCTGCCACCTTCACCTGTGCTCCCAGGTCCCAGCTCGGAACATCCTCTTTCCCCGGGACCACAGGGACTTGTGTGTTCACGCAGGAAGGCAGAGGAACCAGGGCAGGCATGCGCGTGTGGCACTGGGGACAGTGCAGGGGGCAGGCAGGAGTGTGCCCTGGCACACAGCCCGGGGCAGGCGAGGCGGGGGGGCTCCCATCACCAGAGGTCAGCAGCATGTGCGTGCAGTCGGCCGCGTGCTTAACCGCGCAGCGGTGGGGCGGGGGGCAGCTTCCAGTGGCTCGGCCCCATGGGAGAGACCTGGGGTGCACCTCCCACCTCCTCTTCCCAGTGCCTGACCCGCCCCTCGCCCGGGAGCCCACGGCCCCCAGGCCGCTCAGACACCGAGGCGGGGGGTGTGGGAGCCGCGAGGACAGAGAAGGGGCCGGAGGGCGGCCCGGCCCTGGAGGGGTTGGGGGGGCGGAAGGGCTGCAAAGCGCGTCCTCACCGGTAGATGAGGGTCTCGTCCTCACTGCTGTTGTACTGGATTTGGAACATCCACACAGGGTCCGCGGGCCGCCCCGGCCCCCAGCTCACCAACCCCGAGGTGGCAGTCACCTCCGTCACCTGCACGGCTGGCTCAGACTCCAGTGTCCCCTCGCCCTCGGCAGCGGTGCGGGCCGAGGCGGCAATGTCCGAGGGCCCGGGGCGGCCCCCCTCGGCGCTGCCGTTCCCGCCGCCGTGGGGCAGGGCCAGCACCCGCAGCTCCACGTGGGCCGTGGCCTCGCCAGCGGGGTTGGTGGCGATGCAGGTGTAGTCCCCCGCGTCCCCAGAGCCTGTCACCCCAATCTCCAGGGTCCCGTTGGGGAAGGCCCGGGCTCGGGAGGAGTTGCCGACCAGCCGGTCGTCGGGGCCGACCCAGTGCATGGTGGGTGCGGGGTCCCCGAGGGCCCGGCACCGCAGTGTGGCCCGCTGGCCCTCCAGCACCCAGAGGCGCTGCGTGTGGCGGGCAATGAGGGGCGGCTCGCAGGAGAACTCGCCCTCGGGCACCGCCCAGAAGTAGCGGCCGGCCAGGCCCGGCGGGGAGGCGCAGGTCTCCAGGTCGTCGGGCCGGGCCAGCCGCCGCAGCCACAGCAGCTCACAGTTGCAGTGCAGGGGGTTCCCGCTGAAGCTCAGCACCAGGGGGGCGGGCGAGGCCTGGGCGTCGCGCCCCCGGGAGAAGAGCGGGTCGGGCGCCAGCGTGGTCAGGCGGTTGGAGGTGAGGTCGAGGCGGGAGAGCTGGCCGAGCTGGGCGAAGGCGCCCGGAGGCAGCGTGTCGATGAGGTTGTGGTCCAGGTTGAGGGTGTGCAGGGCGGGCATGGCACCGATGCCGGCCCAGGGCACCTGCCGCAGGTTGTTGTAGGACAGGTCCAGGTCCTCCAGGCTGTCCAGGAAGTCGTCGAAGGCCCCCGGCGCGATGCGGCCCAGCTGGTTGCCGCTCAGGATGAGGTGCTGCAGGTTGATGGGGCCCCGCAGGCTGCCGGTGCCCAGCTCGGCCAGCCTGTTGCCGTCCAGGTGCAGCGAGCGCAGGCTCTCCAGGTCCCCGAAGGAGCGGGCGCCGATGCGGGTGATGGCGTTGCGGGACAGCGTCAGGTCCACCAGCCCCGTCATGTTGCGGAAGTCTGGGGGCCCCAGGGCCTGGATGAAGTTGTCCGCCAGCCGCAGCTCCACTGTGCGCCGGTCCACATTGGGCGGCACGAACAGCAGGCCTCGGTGGGCACAGAGCGTGCTGAGCGACTCGGACAGGTTCTGGCAGACGCAGGGCAGCGGGCAGGCGGCCGCTCCACTGGCCAGCAGCAGCAGCAGGAGCGGCGGGGCCATGGTGAGCGCCCTGTGGGGAGGGGCCGGGGCCCGGGCACAGGTGGGGCTGGCGCAGGTGCCCAGGGCCCAGCCCCAGGCGCCAGCTCCCTGAGCATGGCCTGAGCGGACAGTTGGGGTCCGAGGCCCAAGGGACCCCTGAGGGAGGAGGGAAGGCTGTGGCCTACACGGCCAGCACCCTGGAGTAGAGGTCACTTCTCCCAAGCAGTTAGGGGGCCCCCAGGCTCTGGGGACGAGGGGAGGCCGGAGGCAGGAAGCAGAGGTGGACATGAGAGCAGGGAGGGTCCCGGAACTTCCTTTCCCCGGCGTCCCTGGAATCGCCAGCACCCCCCTCACCCCACCGCCGCGCGGTCCCCTCCCCCACCAGGTAGGCCGCCCCCTAACCCCTCCCCGGTGCTCTTTTCCTCCCCAGCCAGCCCCCACGGCGTGCCCCACGAAGGGAGGGGGTGCTCACCTGGTATCCGTAGTTCAGGGGGCACAGGCCGGCCTCCCTGCGGGCCCGGCCAGCCCCCACCGAATCCAGGCAGCTCTCCCGCGGGGGTGAGGCCCGGGGCTGACCGGCAGCCCACCGCTCGCCCTCCGGCCCATGGCCCGGCCCAGGCTCAGTCGGTCCCGGCACCTTTTCCCGGCGCGGCTCACGGCGGTGGCGACAGGCAGGCGGGTGCGCGCCCGCGGGCACGCGCGCCGCCGCGGACACGCACGTGGAGGGCAGGCAGGAAGGAGTAAGCGGAGACCCACCCGGGCCGGCTCCCGAGGTCACGGGGACACGCGGCTACTGCAGCTTTCACGGGTGGCTCCAGGTCACGCCCGAGGCCCAGGCCGGCTCGGACCCAGCACGCAGCGCCCGGGCCCTGCCGCAGCGCACTCACACTGGCACGGGCGCGCGCGCCCCCGGATACCCTGGCGCCCCGGCATCCTGCACCGCGAGGGCGCCCGCCGCCACTGCGCGAACCGTCACTCTGCAGACAGCCAGACAAAGCGCCAGCTCGCGGGCCCCTTCACCATCTCCCGGAGACGGGAGTCTTTGTCACATGCCGCCGGGCGCCCGCCCCAGCGCGCCCACACAAGCCCACACACCCACGGCCCCCGCACCCGCAAGTAGGGCCGGGCGCAAACCCGCACTGTTGCTGGGACCCTCGCGTTCACAGACACGCTGAAGGTCATAACCGTTCTGCATCACCAAGTCACGTGGAGAGTCCCCAAAACGCACGGGGCCCTGGAGGGGGGCTGGGGCGACGCCCCCGTCAGGGCTGCTGCGGGGTGGGGCCGGGAGGGCTTGGTCTCCCGGCTGGCGCCGCACCCGTCGCTCGCCCTTCCCTCCCCCTTCCCAGGCTCCCCGCCCGCCCAGCGAGCCTGGGAGCCAACCGGTCTCCGCCTCCAGTGCGATTGGTCTGCCCGGCTCGTTCGGTTTCCCAGCAGGCTGGGGAGGCACGCCGTTTGGGCCGTGCGTCAGTGGTCCCTCCCCTTTCAGCCCCGCTGGGCCGTTTCCCTAGGAGAGTGGTCTGGGACCCGTTTGGCTCAGCAGAGAAAGGGCTCCTGGTGGTCGTGGGCGGAGGGGGAGGCGGGTCCTGGCTTCTTGCCTCTGACAGCCGGCCTTGGGTGGGAGCGCAGAGGGCTCGGGGCCAGGTCGTGCACAGTGGTCCTTGGTAGTGGTCCCCCAGTGAGGAGACAGGGAAGTCACCCCACCCCCTGGTGTACCCCCTAGTCCTCGGGCACCTTGGATCCCCCCCTGCGTCCTTCCCTTCTCTCCAGACCTGAATCCAAGGGGCCTGGTGGGTGGGAACTTGGAAAGAGGTGGAATTCGAACCCTGCCTGGTGCAGCAGGGGCCTTGGGCAAGTCGTTTAACCACGAAACAAGTTCATCTTCTGGGGCCCGGTGGGCGGGGGGGGGGGTTATGCAGGCATGCAGGCACTAGGGGGGCGAGAGGGAGGACGTGATGCCGCCTGCCTGCGGGGCTAGCCCCCTGCGGCGGGAAGGCTCCCTCTCTGTTGCCGCTGCCCGGCCTCGCCCGCTGAGTCTGTAAGAGGAAGGGCCTGGATTCCAGCCCAGGGTCAGCTCTGCGGCTCGGTGGCAGCAGCTAGTTCTTTGTTCGTCTCCCCATCAGAAACGTTTCCGTTCACTCTGAACATGTGTGCCAGCACCCGTCCCGTGCTGCCCCGTGCTGGGCGTTGGGGTACACCAGGAACCAGATGAGCCTGGCCCCTGCCCACACGGAGTTTGCAGCATAGTGGGGGGTGACACTGCCCCCAAAACCAACCGGGGGGCAGGGTCTACAAGAGAGCAACGAGGGTCCGACAGGGGCGCCTCTGAGGCCGCTCCTTGCCTCTCTGCAGTTCCAGGTTCTGCAGGTGCCTTAACTGGGGTGCGTCTACTCAACTGCCATGCCTCGGCCAGGTAAACCGTCCCCACCTCTCTAGGAGGGGCCGGGACCAGTCTCAGGGGCAGACGGGCCAACTCGTCGTACAGGCTCGAGGCAGTGTCGGCGGGCCCTCCTCCGCACCGGCCGCCTGTGGGATGCCAGTGCCCCCGGGTGACAGGAGCCCTAGGCGCGCAGGGGGAGTCCCTCAGAGCAGCAGTGGCCTGGCAGCCCTTGCTGGAGCCGGAGCCTTTACTGAAGGTACCAACAGAGACCATGAATGGGCAACCCACGGGGACGCTGCCTCTGAAGTGACAGCCAGGGCTGTAGCCACGTGGTCACAGGCACACACGCTGGACTCCCAGCCACACAGCCTCACGGTCGCAGGGCATCGCACACGCCGCCGGCTTGCAGGCCCCCCGCGCAGCTTCTGGGTGGGACTCGCCCTGTCCCAGCCCTGTCCCAGCCATGTCCCAGCCATGTCCCAGCGTCACACCACCGCCCGCCTGTTGAATGGGCAGAGCCGAGGGCCCGGGTGCACAGCACACAAAGACTTAGGCACCTCGGACAGCACCCGGCTCTCCAAGCGCTCCCAGGCCTGGGACAGACGCAGCTGGGCGAAGGGGCTGAGGCCAAGGGCGGAGCTTTCTGACAGCCGGTCCCTTGGAGGCCTGAGGCCCACTAGACAGGGGAGGGAGGGAGAGGGGGACAAAGAAGGCCTTGACCTCAAACTTCTAGGAAGAAGTCACCAGGCAGGTGCAAAGGCGTGACAGACCAAGGGGAGTTGGCATGGCCAGAGACGGCCGGCTAGAACTGCCCGGCTTCACCAGTGACACGGGAGGAGGGCGCGGTGAGGGGGGCGGGCGGAGGTTTGGTCGCTGGGCGCAGGGGCGCCCGCCAGCGGGCGGAGGAGGGCGGGGCCAGGAAAGCTGGTTCTGGGCTGATGAGCTTGTGTGAGGGGCGCACAGGAGAGGTGCCCAGGAGGCGTGTCCGCTCCGGGGTCTTGGTTCTGGAGCCGGAGGCCAAGGCCGAGGCCGCCCGGGGAGAGCGTGCTGTGGGAGAGGCCAGGTGACAGCCCGACAACGCCACCCTGCAGGGGCGGCAGGAGCCCCCGGTGGTGACCAGGGAGGAGGCGGCAAGAGGTTCCGGGACTTTAGTGAGGATATCACTGTGGTGTGTTTGGGGGGGGTGTGGGGTCTGCTGAGGGGAGAGGCCTCCTTCACGACGCCTGGCTGGGTGGGCAGAAGCGTGGCTGCTCCATGCCGCAGCGCTGTGGCGGGTGTGGGGGGCTTGTTTTCAGATCCGGGGAGGGAGGAAGTGGGCTCGGCCCCTTGACAGCTTAGGGCACTCCGCAGAAGGCGCCCGTGGTGGGGAGACGGGGAACTGCCACTCCAGGGGAGCCGGTGTTCTGGGGGGCGTGGGGAGCTGTGCCGGCGCGGGTAGTGCCCTCAGCCTCTTCTGTCCGTCCGTGCGGAGTGGTGACCCCTTCCCACCCATCTCTGCCCTGTAGACCAACATCCCCTTCCTGCAGAACGTGCTCAACAACCAGCAGTTCCTGTCAGGCACCGTGGACACCCAGTTCATTGACGAGAACCCGGAGCTGTTCCAGCTGCGGCCCGCACAGAACCGGGCCCAGAAGCTGCTGCACTACCTCGGTCCGGCCCCGCCCCCGCCCTCCTCTCCCACTGCCCCCAGCCCCTACCCGGAGAGCTTCCTAGCCCCCTGCCCTCAATCCGGTCCTCCCCTTCACTTCGCCTGCCCACCCTCCTTGCCCCTGATCTTAAGAGACTCCCCTTTTTTATCCACGCGGCCTCAATAGGTCCCCACTGCCTGGACCCAGGAGGGCCTGGCTTTGGAGAGGACAGGGGCCAGCTGGAGCCCCGGGGATCCTGGAGGAATCCCCCACCCCCACCCCCACCTACGCACACTCCTGCCCCCAACTCAGACGCCGCCCAGGCTGCCCTGACCCACTGCCCTCTCCCTGCAGGACACGTCATGGTGAACGGCCCGACCACGCCGATCCCCGTCAAGGCTGACCCCAGCCCCTCGGACCCCATTGTCCCCGTGGTGCCCATAGGTAGGTAAGATCCACGGGGAGACAGCTCCCGGGCAGACCGAGGGGCGCCGCCTGCGGCGGGCGCTGACGCCTGGTCTGCCGCAGGCCCGCCCCCGCCCGGGTTCAGAGACATCCTGCTGCAGGAGGGGCCCGAGGGCTTCGCGCGGGCCGTGCGGAACCACCAGGGGCTGCTGCTGATGGACACGACCTTCCGCGATGCCCACCAGTCGCTGCTGGCCACTCGTGTCCGGACCCACGACCTCAAAAAGATCTCCCCCTACGTTGCTCACAACTTCAGCAAGCTCTTCAGCATAGAGAACTGGGGAGGTAGGCTGGGGCAGGGGACAGTGGCTGGCAGGACCCGGGCACCCCAGTGTGGCCAGGGGCAGCTGCAGGCGTGAACACGGAGGGAGCCGCTGGGAACTGAGTGAGGCGGAGCGTGTGTGTGTTCGGCACACGGTAACCGGCGCCCGCTCTGGCCAGGCCTGCTGCCCAGCACGAGGTCCAAGCGCAGACCCAGGCCGCTCAGGGCCAGAGGGCCGACCTTAGTTCCGGCACTGAGAACCGGGCAGGGGCGGTCAAAGGAAGCACACAGTGAGCCTGCACTGCCCCGAGGTCACAGAGAGCACACAGTGAGCCTGCACTGACTGCCCCAAGGTCACAGAGAGCACACAGTGAGCCTGCACTGACTGCCCCGAGGTCACAGAGGGCACACAGTGAGCCTGCACTGACTGCCCCGAGGTCACAGAGGGCACACAGTGAGCCTGCACTGACTGCCCCGAGGTCACAGAGGGCACACAGTGAGCCTGCACTGACTGCCCCGAGGTCACAGAGGGCACACAGTGAGCCTGCACTGACTGCCCCGAGGTCACAGAGAGCACACAGTGAGCCTGCACTGCCCCGAGGTCACAGAGCGGAAAAGCCTGTGAGGTTTCATGTGGGAACCTGAGGGGCCCTGCAGCACGTGACGGGGTCCCCGGGACACGCGGGGCTGACCTGGCCTCTTGGTCCCTGTGCAGGAGCCACGTTTGATGTTGCCATGCGCTTCCTGTACGAGTGCCCGTGGCGCCGTCTGCAGGAGCTCCGGGAGCTCATCCCCAACATCCCGTTCCAGATGCTGCTGCGGGGGGCGAACGCCGTGGGCTACACCAACTACCCCGACAACGTGGTCTTCAAGTG